GCCTACTCGGCCCGTTTTCTTTAAAAATGTGATGGAATATGCGGGATATTTATGCAATTTTATGCGATGAAATTGCAGGAATTTGCAAAAATTGAGAGAACTTGCAAAAATTGCGGTTTGATGAAAAAGATTTTTTCTTTTTCAGTGATTCCCCCAACATCCTGTTCTCACTAGGCTAATGTAAGAGTCATTTCTTATTACTTCCTTTGATAAGCAAGCATACTACATCATAGAAAGTGCTGGGAATATTTAATTTCTCATCTTGTTTTATTTCAGACTGTAACGAGTGTAAATAAGGTGTGGCCCCTTTAAGAGCTGCGCGCTCCCTGTTGAACTCTCTGCAGTGTTATATTATATGTGCGCCTCAAACACCCCATGTGTGCGGGTAATTTCTGTTTAATGCTACTTCTTTTATCTTATGTTGTTTATTAAGTAACGATGTGACGGTAGAACGTGTGACAGACAGATATACGAGTTCGATTTGTGAGATGTCAATCGCCTCCGTGAGTTTGTCCGGCGTCTCCTAATTGCGTCACTTCATAACGTTCCCATGGAAACAGGGGGAAATGGCTGCTCTTGTGTGAAGCAACGGAACATTTTTTAACTTTCTGCTAAAACACATGTGACTTTTTTTGCAACGAAAATGCGAGGACTATGAAATTATGCAGACCCCGCATATTTTGCAAGGAAATCGGCAATTTATGCGGCGAAAGTGCGGCGTATTTGAAAAAATGCGGCCCCCGCATAAATATGCGGACTTTGGCTGATTTTGCATTGAGTTCAGCGATCGCATAATCGCGTTTTTCTGGAGGGACTGTAATGTGACTTGTGGTGTTTTGAGGAGAGGAGGATGACTGCTGGGACTAGATTGAAATTGTTTTTAATTAATTTAAATGATGTGGAACTAGTCAAATTAACACCTTTTTATAAGACAGTTCTAAAATAAAGGAATGTTTTGAGAATTGTTTGAGAACAATGTATTGTAAGTGGATCATGGAATCATGCATTAACTATGAAAATCTTGAACTCTCCTTCAATGCAGGGCAGGCGACTTTGGTGAAAGCCCAGTCTGTCATCTCTTAATAAGTTGGGGTGAATGGTATTAATTCACCCTGTGTTGTAGAAAGATTTTGGACTCAATTTCTTTCTGTAATACCATCAATGTTGTTGGTGGTGGTGGTGGAGGAGGAACTAAAACAATATTGCATGAATTAGATGATTGAGTTTCCAAGTTTAGGGGTAAAGGCAGCTGTGGAGACATGGCTGAAGGATGAAGAAAAGTTTTTTCAGTTGTAATACTTGAAAGTATTATACTTGTGTAAAAGTGATGCATTTTGAATCATTAAAATGTATTAAAATGTGTTTAAGACTTTAAATGGCGAGGATTAGTGGGATTTGATTATCCCCTTAAGGTAGCTAGATGACTTTGTATAAACTCCTTATTAATTAGAGAACTGGTGACCTCCAATGGCAGATAATACATGGAGCCATTTTGATTTGAGTCTGAAGATATGTTTCACTTATATTTTGTAGAGTGAAATGCCAATTTTTCAATTATCAATTTCAAATTTACATTAAATGTTTATTTTATGGCCTGTAACATAAGTATCAAAAAAGTAGTTAATTTGTTTTGTTATATCATCTAGTATATGAGTGTGAATTATGTTTTATCTCAATTGTTTTGCAAATGAATGCATGAGGGAAATCTTATGTGTAAGTAATGTAGTTCTTAATGTTTTTTTATTTGTTTGTTTTGTTAAATGAGTCTATACATGTTATGTGTATATTTATGTATATTTGTGTTTTAATATATTTTGGACCACTCCACTATCTAACCATAGACGTAATGATTTTTATACTGTACAAACTGTATATTTTATCCCCTTACACCGTCCCTACCCCTAAACGTACCCATCACAGAAAACTTTCTACTCTTTTACATTTTCTCAATTTCTCTCATGGGGACCTTTGGCTAGTCCTCACGATATTCTTGAGGGGACATTTGGTCCTCACAATGTAAAACATGAGCACACACACACTTAGAAACCCTCTGTATGCTTATGATTATTTAAAAATAAAAGACTGCATAATTTCAAAGATAAGAAGGTCAGAGAACCTGCTAATCGGTGTGTTTACATGAGAGGCCATGCAGTCCATAACAACAAAACAATATGCTTATGTATATTATAAATGATGCATAGTTACACATATACATACAATAGGGAACATTTTTATGGCAGGGTTCCCGTTAAAAAGGACAGTCAGTAAGAAAAATAATACTTATAATAAGAATTGAACATAATTTCAAGCCATGACTTAAAATGAAATAAAACGTGTTCTAAAAAAAACACACAAATAAATGAACTCATTTCATTGTAGATGGACTGTTGCCAGGAAACCCTCTTTAGATGTTAGTTTCTTCCAAAGCAGACTTGGGTGGTGATCTATTTAAACATACATTTTATAATGTGCTTTGATGAAGGCCAACAAATAAATCATCTTCAGTTATTATAGCACCTTGTATAAGAACAACAATTTATCAATGTGAATCTATCTACCCCTGCATGCTTGAAAAGGGTGTTTCTGTAGCAGTGAGAACATATCTGTGTGTTTTCTTTAAATGAATGAATTAAACAAAACATTTGAGATATACTGTACATAGTCATAGCTGTCCCCAAGGAGTGCTGCCTTTCTCTAAAACTTCATTCAACGAAGTAAAAAGTGGGGGAAAAAAAATATTTAAGATAATAGCTACTGTCAGAAAATAGCACACATTCTTTGATGTAGGTGGACTCCAGTGTCTAGAAAGACTTTAGTAGAGAATGTGGACCAAAGCCACAATAAATAAAGCATCTTAACTCGTAAAAGATAACAAAACTATAAATGCTGTTCTAAAGATTAGTCATATTAGGCTGCAATAAATATATCGCTGATGAAGAAGGCTAATCAGTTAGTACCCACATTGCATGTGCATCAGTTATACAAACTGCACATTTATTCAATGTGCCAAGAGGAAGCTCCAGCACTTTATTTTACGGTAACGTTTCACGTGAAATATTACATGTTACATAATAAATGTTGTTATTATTTTAGAAATTGAAACAACTGTGGGATAATTAAATGCTTTTTTTTTTTTCAAAATGTTTGGGTCAAATATGGACAAACCCAAATGTTGGGTTAAAAATGTAATTAAAAACTTTAATCCAACTTAAACTTTCACTTTCAACTGTAATTTTTTATTTTTTTTTACTTACATTTTCAACCCAGCATTTGGGTTTGTCCATATTTGGGGTGAAACAACCCAGCATTTTTTTTTTTTTAAAGTTTACATAACCAAATCCTACCCCTAAACATAACTCTAACCCATGTAGTTACCTTATTTTATTAAGTACTTTCTTAAAGGATTAGTTCACTTTTGAAAAAACTTTTGCTGATAAATTACTCACCCCCATGTCATCCAAGATGTCCATGTCTTTCTTTCCTCAGTCGAAAAGAAATTAAGGTTTTTGATGAAAACATTCCAGGATTTTTCTCCTTATAATGGACTTCAATGGGAACCAGGTCCAACCGAGGTCCAAACGACAGTTAATAACAGTTACAGATTCAATATTCAACCTAAACCAGCTCTCAATCTGTGGACCGACGTGGCATTCAACAACCAGCCTAGGAAAAAAAAAAAAAAAAAAAAAAAGAAAGAAATCCCGTCCTGTAGCTTATTACACTAAATGGAGCTAAAAAATATCATAATCAAAGACAACATTAACAAATAATTAATTTACCAACCAAGCAAGCAACCACCCAGCCAACCAACCAACCAACCAAGCAACCAACCAACCAAGCATCCAACCAACCAACCAACCAACCAAGTATCCAACCAACCAACCAAGCATCCAACTAACCAAGCAAGCAACCAACCAACCAACCAACCAACCAACCAACCAACCAACCAACCAACCAACCAAGCAACCAACCAACCAAGCATCCAACCAACCAAGCAAGCAACCAACAAAGCAACCAACCAATCAACCAACCAACCAAGCATCCAACCAACCAATCAAGCAACCAACAAAGCAACCAACCAAGCAACCAACCAACCAACCAACCAACCAACCAACCAACCAACCAACCAACCAACCAATAAAGCAACCAACCAACCAAGCAAGCAACCAACAAAGCAACCAACCAAGCAAGCAACCAATAAAGCAACCAACCAACCAACAAAGCAAGCAACCAAGCAAGCAACCTATAAAAAAAAAGAAATAAAAAAGAAATAAAAAAAAAAAAAAAAAAATAACAGTTACAGATGCAGCTTCAAATGTCTTTAAACGATATCAGACGATGAATAAGGGTCTTATCATGCGAAACGATCGGTTATTTCAAAGCTTATTCCAAAAATGTAACTTTTCTAAGGACAAATGCTAGCCTTGTAATATATTGTGAGGCGCGTTTGCAACGTCACGTAATACGTAATTACGTTCAAAAGGTCACGGGCGACGTAGCCGGAAGTACAGAATCAAAATCGTCCGACATCGTTGTTTTACCTTTTAATTCCTTTTTTGTAAATGGCGTTTTGAGTTAGTTTTCACGTTCAACCTAACTTGTAAACACTCTGACTCTGTACTTCTGGCTACGTCGCCCGTGACCTTTTGAACGTAATTACGTATTACGTGACGTTGCAAACGCGCCTCACAGAATGGAGAAAGGCTAGCATTTGTCCTTAGAAAAGTTACATTTTTGGAATAAGCTTTGAAATAACCGATCGTTTCGCATGATAAGACCCTTATTCATCGTCTGATGTCGTTTAAAGACATTTGAAGCTGCATCTGTAACTGTTATTAACTGTCGTTTGGACCTCGGTTGGACCTGGTTCCCATTGAAGTCCATTATAAGGAGAAAAATCCTGGAATGTTTTCATCAAAAACCTTAATTTCCGTTCGACTGAGGAAAGAAAGACATGGACATCTTGGATGACATGGGGGTGAGTAAATTATCAGCAAAAGTTTTTTCAAAAGTGAACTAATCCTTTAAGTACACTTTATAGTAAGTGCATATACTGTAAAATAAAGTGCAACCGAAAATTCCCCTAGGCATAGATGGACAAAATTGACTACGGGTCCAATGATTGTCTGGAGAGTCATACAAGGGACAAATAATAAAAGCCATTCACAAGACCAAGTGTAACCTATGAAAATAAAAATACATGAATGAATAAATCACGTGCATCCTTCATGATGTTTTAATGCTCAAAGATTATAATGCACCAGTTCAAACAATTGTCAGTGAGTTCTCAACCAACAGATCCAAAATCGAAGCCTTCGATGAATGGACTCAAGCTGTTATAGCAAAGGATGGCCTTGATTCAATTTAGTATTGCCTGATGCTTCTTTTGAAGGTAAAAGTAATATGGCTGCTATAAGGCTTGTATTTGCTGGTTGTATTCCATCTTGGAATGCTTTACCCGCACATCACCGTGAGTGTCTGCATGTGTGAAGGAAGAGTACCAACAAGTGCTATTGCAACTTGAATGTCTTTAGAGAGTAGGAAAATCATTCTGTAGTCAGATGGTTTCATGCCAGAGCAATGAGAGGTCAATGCATGCTATTCAGGCCGACAGAGAGGGAAGGGGCAAAGGTGAAGAAGATTAACGTTGAGCCCTCTCAGGACAATCACAGTAAAAATCTTCAGCAGCTGACCCTTATCGTTTCTCTCATTCCTCCGTCCATCCGTTTGTTTATTAGTAGGTGGTCATTGTCTTCAGTGCTCACACTTCCCTGAAAGAGAAAGAAAAAGGAAAATAAACCAAAAGACGAAAAGCAAAAACTGGTTTAAAAATATATGTATATGTATGTGTGTTTCAAGCTGATGGTAAACAAATTTGGCTGTCCTTGCTAACCCATCATGAACACATAAACATGGCATTACACCGATAACTGTTTAATGGTTTTCATCCACATTTCACCTTTGATATGCTTTGAAATTGACTGTGTTGACAACTAAAAACTAACTGAATATACACAATATTGATTTTGCGTCACACTGTCTAGACTTCATTGATAAGCAAAAGGTCTTTCCAGGCTGAGAAGGTTCTGAATACCGCAATAGATTTGCTTATTCATGTTGGCAGGTTTTGAATATATAAACCTTTTTTTTTTTTTTTTTTTTTTTGCAGCACCAGCAGCAGGCCCGGGTCCTGCCAGCTATGGAAAGCGTGACACTGTAAAAAATAATCCTGTAAAAAACGGTAAACTACTGACAGCTGTCATACCGTAAAAATACGGTGTGTTACTGTGTTTGAAATTAACAGCTAAATACCGTATTTTCAGCTACAGTATAAAACTTTAATTTAACAGCTATATGCTCTAACACAAAAACAGTAACACACCGTATAGTTACGGTATGATGCTAGCAACCACAGCTGCCAGTAGTTTACCGCTTTTTTACAGGATTTTTTTTTTTTTTTTTTACAGTGCAGGAGATCAAAATTAAATGATGTTGCAGACTTCACTTAATTTCTGATTGGGTGGACAATGCAATATTTTGGAGCTATGATTTGTAGTTTAACTCTTCCTCATGCAAGAAAACCTTTTTACTTTTTATATGTAGCTAATGGCTTCCTCTCTTGGTGTTAACCCTCAGACTGTCTTCGGTCATTTATGACCTGAAAATTTTCTGTTTTGAATTTCTAAAAATCACAGCTTCATCGGAATGTTATGAAACGTGGTGACTTTTGTGGCATTAGGTATGTGAATACACAAAAAAATTGAGGTCATGATCCGAGCATAAAAAGTGGTCATAAAAAAAATAGTCACAATTGTGGTGTTCGGTCAAAAATGACCGACCCATAGAAAATGAATGGGAAATTGACAAAAAAAAAAAAAAAAAAGAAATCTGAATTTTTGTACGTACAATCTACAAATCGGCCACAATTCTAAGAAAAAGTACACCGCAGGAAAGGGGTGACACTCTACAATATCTAAAGTGCAAAACAGACACACCCACAGACACACACATACAAACACACTTTTATACACATACACACCAATAAATTTTGATTACAAAAAGTATGTTTTGAATTTTTAAAAATCACAGCTTCGTCTGAATGCTACGAAACTTGGTGACTTTTATGGCATTATGTATGTGAACACACAACAAAATTGAGGTTATGATCTGAGCATGCTAAGTGGTCTTAAAAAAATAATCACACTTGTGGTCTTTGGTCAAAAATGACTCCCATAGGAAATGAATGGGAAATTGACAAAAACACAACAATTCACACATTTTTTTTTTTTAAATAAGAAATCATTTTTGAGATTGTTTCAAATATATATTCAAATCCAAAACCCAAAAAAAAAAAAAAAAAAAAAAATGTGTTCATAAACAGCTGGGGAATTCACATGCCTCTCCATAGAGAGCTGTACATGCCATTCTAGTGGTTACACCATAATTTTACGCTTTTTCTCTATACTGTAACCAGATGGCTTACAAATTTTTTTTTTCTGAAGGCCTAGACTATATTAAACTAAAATACTGCATTAATATATATATATATATATTTTTTTAAATATATATCTATAGAAAAATATATACTTTTTTTTTCCATGGCAAAAATAGACCATAAATATTGCATAAATATAAATAAATTCAATCTAATTGTCTCAAAATACTAAATTACAAAGAATAAATGTTATAGAACAAAAATAACTTGCATTGGTTTTACTGGGATGGAGGAAATTTCATTTTTAGGTGTCCGGTCGCTTCTGACCGGGAAGGCTCAGGATGTGACTCCGAAACGAAGACCGCCTGAGGATTAAATATGATTTAGTTCCTGTATTGATCCATGCAGACAAGGGGTGTGCAGCGGAGACAATATCTATATCTGTATCAATCTCAAAATTATCTGTATCTGTATTCAAATAAATCTGGATGTGGGTGGAGCTTTAACCGAGAGTTCATGAAATTACAAAGGAAGCCAGTTTTTTATTATAGTTATAAAAACTATTGGAATATTTTTTAATTAAAACAATAATACTAAATGTTAAATACAATGAAAGCCTAGTTAGTTTTAATTGCCAGAGCAACTACAGAGGAAAAAACATTTGCACAAAGCAAGCCGATCCACTTTTCCATGTTGATAAGAGCATTAAAATGAGAAAAAATAACGGGACAAAAAGAAATCAAGAGACATTAGAATAGATAAAAATGTGTGATTAATCACGAGCTAACTATGACATTAATGCGATTAATCGCGATTAAATATTTTTAATCGTTTGACAGCACTAATTTTAACATAGAAAAATCCCACAAACTTCACCTTTAAGACCAACCCACATCTAATTCTAGCTGAATACAGATAATGGCATCGCTGCATCCCCCTGCTTTGTGCAAATGTATGTATTCATTTTAGGGCTGTCAAACGATTAATCGCGATTAATCGCATCCAAAATAAAAGTTTGTGTTTACATAATATATGTGGGTGCACTGTGTATAATTATTTTGTATATATATATATATATAAATACACACACACACAAGCATGTATATTTAAGAAAAAAAAATATTTATATGTAAAATATTTATATTTATATATAAAACAAATTATATTTAAATCTACATACAGTATATACATGAAAATATTTATTAAATATATACAAGCATGTGTGTGTTTATATATATAAAATAATTATACACAGTACACCCACATATGTTATGTGAACACAAACTTTTATTTTAGATGCGATTAATTGCGATTACTCGTTTGACAGCCCTATTCATTCAATGAAATAATACTATGGCCGAGAGTGCTAAATGTAACAAATTCACACAGAAACAATGTGAGTGTGAAACCATAAAGATATGAAAAAATCTGGGTCTTTGGGTCTCACGTCCAACATTTCCTGACATATCTTTGGGCAGTAATTGAATGGTCATTACACCAAAGTTATGGCACAGGCTTGCGTGAAGATGAGAAAATGGGGGATTTCAGGCTGTGCTGACATTCATTGCCTTTGATTTATGAGAAAGGCACTTCCTCTCATATCAGGCACCCCAGTGGGCAATCAAGCGAAGAGCTGATCACCAGCAGAAGCTTCTGTGAATACACGCGCTAGTCAACTCAGGCAATGTGCTTCTTAATGTCTGGACCCGAATGGAACTATTCATGAAAACGCCACCAGCAGGCTGAAAGTGCCCACTATGATTTCTTTGTCAAGCACACACCGGCATACTGAACGTGTATTTTTGTGAGAGAGGAGATATCTCATATTGTCCTTTTGTCCCGCGGCAGCTTTATCAGGGGCTTTGATTCTGTATTTTTCCCTAATGGTTTGAAAAGAGAAAGGTGACACAAGGACAGGTTAAAACTGTTAAGTTTGTGAACGAAAAGCTTCATTTCATGTTTATTAATTTGTTGGAACAAAAGTCTCTCAAATTTAGGACATTCCCAAAATATACCATTTAATATGACTTTATTTTGTAATGTCTAGAATATTATGAAAACAATTAATCAGTTCTCAGAACCATGTCAATACTACAACATTAAAAGATTTAAATTATTAGCTCAGGTTAGTTATTTAAACTACAATTGAAGAGTTCAGATGCAAAAGCCTCTAAATGCCATTTGAAATTTTCTTCTTTAATGATGATTTTTATCAAACTTGTATATTTAAGTTCATTTTCTTCACTTAAATAACAATAAATAGGTAATTATCATTGCAATTTAAGTGAAATCACTTAACTTAAATATACAAGCTTGATAAAAATGATCATTCTAGAAGAAAATTTCAAATGGCACTTAGAGGCTTTTGCATCTGAACTCTTCAATTAATGTTTCGTGAGTTTACCTAAGATGCATTTAAAGGTAGGGTAGGCAATGTTTTTCATAACAAAAAGAAAAAGAAAGAAATATGCTGGTTGAAAGTCTTTTCACATCCCGAGAGCAATCAGTAATTAAAAAATAATCTTTAATCTTCTGTGGAATTCTCAAGACCATAAAATATCCAATTGTCTCACAAGTGAATAACCAACGCTATTTCACGACCAATTCGTACAAATTTGTACGAGAGATTGAAAGATTGCAAATTCGTATGACCTCACTCGTACAAATTTGTTATTTTTAGTCCAAACCCACTTGATGGCTAGGTTTAGGGGCGCGGTCAGGGGTATGTCATTTGTACGAATTCATACGAATTGGGCAACTCGTAAAATATGTACGATTTCGCAAAAACCGTACTAATTTGTACGAGTGAGGTCGTACGAATTGTTACGAATTAGCCACCTTGTGAAAATCGTACGAATTGCAGTGGGATTGGGTTGGAATAATACATGAGGTGGTTTGAAAGCGCTCCGTTCCCCCCACCACCAACGACGTCTCTCGTGACGCTTTGCAGACTCTGCTCTGGCTGCGTACATTCATGTGTTTTAGAGGAGACATGGCTTTGGCAACACTATCTCACGACCAATTCGTACGAATTCGACGCATGATTAAAAAGTGTCTAATTCGTACTAATTCGTACGACCTCACTCGTACTAATTCCTACGATTTGTCTAAACCCACGTGATGGTTAGGTTTAGGGGCGGGGTCAGGGGTAGGTCATTCGTACGAAAAAATCGTAAAATATGAAGAATCGTAAAATATGTACGATTTAGCAAAATCGTATTAATTCGTACGTGTGAGGTCGTATGAATTGTTACAAATTAGCCACTTTTTAATCATTCGTCGAATTCGTACGACTTGGTCGTGAGATCGGGTTGGCTTTGGAGAGAGCTCTGAAGG